TATATCGAGACATGGATATGTATGTATATACAATATAGACATACCTATATAGTGCCTATATGGACCCCTGGAAAGGCGGATAAGCATACTCCCAAAAAAAAGTATTCAAGTATGGTACTTCAAAGTTGAGGTATAAAAGCAAGGACCAAACCTCTCGAAAGAAACCAGAGAATTTCAGATCAAGGAGCAAACGAGACTAGCGAAATTGAAAACAAAGAGCAAGCCACTCGAAAGGAACTAGGGAAGTTCAGAACAAGGCGCAAACCGCTCGAAAAAGACTAGAGAAATTGGAAAACAAGGAGCAAGCCACTCGAAAGGAACTAGAGAATTTCAGAACAAGGAGCAAACTGCTCGAAAGAGACTAGAGAAATTGAAAACAAGGAGCAAGCCACTCGAAAGGAACTAGAGCATTTCAGAGAGCAAACCGCTCGACAAAAACTAGAGAAATTGAAAACAAGGAGCAAGCCGCTCGAAAGGAACTCGAGAATTTCAGAACAAGGAGCAAACCGCTCGAAAGAGACTAGAGACATTGAAAACAAGGAGCAAGCCACTCGAAAGGAACTAGAGAATTACAGAACAAGGAGCAAACCGAGGGTCTTGATGAAAACCATGGTATTCAAATCTATCTTCACATGTCATAATTATCAAACCCCTCTCCCTGAGGATTACAGTAGAGAGGGGCAAGGGGATCCCAAAAACTGAGAGCGCTGCCCTGAATCTCGAAGCCTTCGAAGACCAAAGTCACTAATGCCGAAGCCCTAAACACGCCTAAACCCTAAACTCTCGTGGGTTCCTGAAGGCCCATCAACCCCAAAACCCTAAACCCTAAACTCTCAAGACCAGTAAGCGCCCTGCGTCGGGATCGCAGTTTAGGAGCCCCCGACCTGGGTAGAAGAGCGATTCCGGCTTTAGGGCTTCCAGGCTTTAGGGGGCTTGGGGCTTTAAGGCTTTTATAATCCGGGCATTAGGGCATTAGGGTTCAGGTCTTTGAGCTTTCGGGGCAGCGGGTTTCGGATTTTGCAGTTTAGGTGTGCGGTGTTTTAAGAAACTGGGGTGGGTTTGGGAGCCGAGGTTGATTGATTCAGGGTGGACCTGAACTTTGGTGGGGTATCCGGCCGTTGCTCTGCAAACAAAAAGCCTTGTACTGTATTGTTGATAGGTCCTGCGCACATCGGACAACCGATTCTGTTTGCATTACAGCCCGACACCCTTCTGCCATAAGCATCCTAGAGAACAACACAAAGACAGACAAAAATAAACACGGTCCAACAGCCCCAAAGCCCCGAACAACAAAATCCCACTAAAGTAGTACGGAGCGACGCTTTCACCTGAAGATGCTACGAATAAAACCCCCAACCCTGAACCCTGCTTGAAGTACGAGTTCCAAATATGAAAAAAAAACCTAAACCCTAAACCGTGACCTTAAACTTAAACCGAAGTTCACAATCTCAGCCTCCAGCCGACCTCGAGTGCCTCGGCTGCGGCACAGGGCCGGCGGAAGGACACGACGAGGCCCGCCTCTCCTGTTGAAGCTGTAAGGTTCTGTAAGGTTCAGGATTCACAAGTTCGTTGAGGGTTTGTTTAAGCACCGCTTTCCGTCTGCATGGTTAACAGTGGCCGGAAGCCCGTGAGGGCAGGTAACCCTTCTCAGTGCATGTCGTAGTAGTCTTGTAAAGGGTTTAAAGTTTCTGGTCTAGGGTTCCTTCCGTGCTTGCTTTGAAATTGTGAGATCAGAGTTTCAATCGGCGGTTTTCGGCTGTAGGGGGTAGGTGTTTTGAGTCTAGGGTTCAGGGTTTACAGCTCAGAGCTGCAAGGTTCGTTACACTGTGCCCTTTTAAGGGGTTTCAGGCGGCTTGTCTTGCTGTTCCTTGTGTTGTGGCTCTGAAAGTTCCAACAAGGCAGGGTCGCAAAATGCACATCCACTTCAAGATCCTCGCATGCATGCTGCCAGGACATCTCCACCCCATCTAGAGCTCAGGACCGCAAATTTGGCTCGCCTCTGTTTTCCCGGACGACGAAAACCTTCTGGATGGCTTGGGATTCAGGATTTAAGTGTTTGCCGTTCAGGGCTTTGGAGTTTCGGAATTCAGGCTTCGCGGTTGTAGACTTTAAGGGCTTATGCTTCTATCGCTTCAGCTTTCTAGGCTCAGAGTTTTGGCGTTTCGAGATGCCAGGTTTGGGGTGCACACTGTCTAGCCTGAGGGCGCAAAACCTTCCTGCTGGGATTCAATGTCATGCGCTGAAACGAAAACCAGGCACGGAAATGTCGAGAGCTTCTAAACCCTGTCTGTGGAACTCCTGAGCGTAGGAGTTGCAGAGCTGCTTTTCCGCTGGGAGCTTAGACACGCTTTGGGACCCTACTGTACTCAACGCACAAACGTTGAGTCCAAACCACAAACCAACCCAGCTTTCGTGACAAGTATCCCCAAGAGCACACGAATATCAATATCCTCTCACGAATCTTCGTAGGGAGCCACATATACACTCACCGAAAAGCGAAACTGAACTCGAATACCGGAGCCTTCAGAAGTGGTCTACTCCGACATTCTATGCTTCATCTGCGCCTCTTCCACCTCTGGCTGGGCCTCAAGAAGTCTCTTCATCTCCTCGGCTCCGCTGAGACGGATCTCTAAGGCTTCCAATCCCAAACCACTGAACACTGAAGGCCCAAAGCACTCAAAACCTAAATTCCCAAGCCGCTTTTTTCAAGCCCAGCCCCTTAGACCAAAAACAGTCAACTCGTAAAGGAAACCTTAAAGGAGCATCCGCCCTTGCACAACCTGATATGACAGCGGAAAGCCCCTTCAAACCACTCTTCATCCCGATAGAACTAGGCGGGAAGCTGAAAAGGAACAACAGGTCAGCAAGACGCTTCAGGCAAGTGTGAAGGCTTCCAAGCAGGAGCTGTCAGAATCTGGTCTCAAAAGACTCAGAAATGTTGACTCCAGGTTCCTCGCGTTTGGGTTGGGGGCTCAAAGTTTTAAGGTTTGGGGTTGGGGGTTTAAGCTTTCGGGGTCCAGCGGATCTCTTGCTTAAAGGGCGAGACACACATTGGCTATCAGTTTGAAAAAAGCATAAGGCCCTGCACCCCAAACCCTACAACCCAACTCCCAAACCACAACCTAACGCTGCTAATCACGGACCTCGGAAAGGATCGCGTCTTTGAGGACTCCTTCTTGGGATTCCCGCACCTAAACATCCGAGCTTCCTCGAGGCTCGCCGGTGCTTTGCCCAGGAGGTCGTCACCCACCTTCGGTGGAGCCTGCCGCCCAAAGAAAAGTCAAGAGATTTAGTATATCCGGGTTCGGCGTGGAGAGTTTCGCAGCGTGGGTCTAGGTAAAGGGCCCCGGGTTTTGGGTTCAGAGCTTAAGGCTGCAGCTTTAGAATTTAGGGAACATCGTTTGTGCCGCACAGGAATGAGGGCATTGAGCCCTTTCCGGTGTAGGGCTGAAGGGCTGAGGGCTTGGGGCCTGACGGTTTCGGCTACGACTAGGAACCCATTCTCACAGGGAGCACTAAGTTCAGGCTTGAGGGCCAGGGCTTCGATACACTGGGGGATTTAGGGGCTCAGGGTCTTATACTTGGAGGCTCTAAGCTCTTAAGGTTGAGGGGTTCGGGGTTTTGGGTCTCAAGAGCATTCTTCCAGGGGTGCGCCTGTCGCCGAGATCGCTTCCATCCTCCCGGGATGTAGGGCTTCCAGGGATTTGTTATTGGGTTTAGGGGCCCCGGACCCCGAGATTGATACAACCGGGGGCGAAGACAGGTGTCGCGGGCTGGCTTGTGCTCAAACCGCAGACCCAAAGCACGAAAAGCCCGACGGCCAGGACTTATATAAGGCGTACATCCTGGAATTACGACGCGAAGCCCCCAACATGCGAAACATTGCAACGACTACACTCTCGACAAAACATGCACGTAATACCGACTTCGTGAATCCAATCACAGTTGTAAGTTGTACACTGGGATATATTGGTACATTGCTCTAGCTCCGCTGGCATGATGAAAGCCCTAAACCCCATCCCCTAAATCCAAACCCCACTTGTTGAGGAGAACACGTGTGAGGTTCATGCACCCTGATTTTGCGCAATCATGCAAGGCCGAACTAAGTAGAATAGAGCTTGGCGGAATAGTTCGTTCAAAGAGTTCCTAAACTCTGATCCTCGAATTGAGACACCTGCAGCTTTAAAGAAGGGCGTGAGGCAGTTCAAGGCTTAATGTCTAGGTTAGACCCGTTTGGAAATATCGGGATTAGGACTCAGGCTTTAGACTTGGACATTGAATTTTCGGGTAAGGTGAGGTCTGTTTCAGACAGGGAATTCGCATTCAGAAACCCTCCTAGGCCTCAAACTCTGAGGCCTAAACGCCAGGCAAACCTGCAGAGTTTCACATTCATGCCGCTTGACAAACACACACTAAGCAAAATCGTACCCCACCAAATTCCGATGCATGCATGTAGGTGTTTCGCAGACCACAAACCAGATCTCAATCCGACCCTATCTTCGGGTTAAGGCCGGTTTGGGGTTGATGATTGCGGTCAAACCCAAAAAACAGCACTCAGAACTTGATTAGGGGCCAAGACTCCAAAAAAGGCACGCGAACAAGCAGCCAGTCGAAAACCCCAGACCCGAAGACCTACCCGCAGATCGCTTTGCTCTCGCCATCGACAACGCTTCTGTCATGGAAACCACCAGCCATGAACCCCACGAGCGCCTAAGTCTGGTGATTTTCAGTAAGGCTCTGTAAGTCTTTGCTGTGGACTCTGCTTACCAGGGTGGTGAGCAGCGGCCTGTAAGATGCCCAGGGTTCAAGAGTAATTTGCCGTTGGGGCACCCTCTAAGCCCAACGCCCAACCCCAAGCCCATGCACCTCGTCTGCCTGGGTGGCGGGGCTCTTCCCTGCCCGCAGCTTGAGCAGGGGCTTCGGACTCCGTTGAGAAACAGGCGTTCTCTGAGGTCAAAATGTCGGGTCTAGCTTAGAGTGTTAGGTATGGAAATTAATCTCATCTCGGCAACATTCCCCGAGGATGTGCATTAACATACGGTGCTGCAGAAGGTGTTGCAGCGCTGCCCTGTCATGGGCTGCTTTGCTTAGTTCACTTACTTGGCAAAAGACCCGAAACGAAGCCATCGCCAGCTGAAATACGAGCGCTGAAACCGTAATTCCAAGCGGTGAAAGATGCCTTAGATCATGACGGTGAGATGAAAGGGTGCAGAGTAATATCGGTCGATAAACAGCATGTGCAAACGGTAAATGATTAGAATACCTACATGACCCTACATGCCTACTGACCCGCATGCACCGCTGGCATGGCGGATCAGACAGACAGCGGCACCCGCGAATCCCGCAAAAGGTGCAACCACCCGTTAAAGCCCTCCGAGAAGTGTCAATCAGAGGTACCCCATAGCATCCCCTGGGAAGACAATACCGCCAGAACCCTCATCCGTCGCCTCAGCCGGATGCCCTTTGTCCTCCGGAAGCCGCGTTCCGTATACTCCATCCAGCTGCCACGGGCATCCTCCGTCGAAAAGGCTCTTCTCACACAACAGCACGGTTCCGAAACTCTGACTTTCGACGGGTGCTTGCAAAAGGTTTGCAGGAAGCCTGCATGAGAAGCGTTTTATGTGGCCATTCGGGGCCTGCCAGGACTACGATATGGTCACCCGGTTCTGATTTTCAGGTTTGGGGTTGGGAGTCTCGGATGGAAGGAGTGGGTCCTCAACCCCAACATGTGGGAATTTCGGCGACATGCAAGATGCAGGTATGCAGTTTTGCACTTCCCAGATTTTGGGTGCCTCAACTTTTCCCAAAGGTTCTGCATTAGGACCTGGGTCGGTCAAGCGTTTTTGCCGGGTTCGGCCTCGGGGCTTAGAGCGATGCCCTTGGCCTGAGAACCAAGTATTAAACCCAGTGGGGCCGTGTAAGTGGTGTCACCGCAACTCACCTCACGGAGACCGGACGCAGACAAGGGATGCATCGTGGGCTACACATGACCTCCTACTCACAAGACTGGAGTCACAGGGATCTTCTCCCTCATCAGCAAACCAGAGACTGACCTTACGGCGAGAGGCATTTCAGCTCCCGAAATCGAACCAACCCGCATGCACAGCCCCTCTGGAGCGCAAGGTTGTGCGGAGTTATCCCAGCCTCTTCGGACACTTCGTAGGCCAAACCACGGACGCCTCGACAGACCAGGGCTGGTTTGCACGTGGGGGCTTAGGGATCAGTGGAACCCAACCCTTAATGATTTTCAGGTTTGGTGGTTTGGGCTGGGGTTTGAAGTCGTAGGCCCTCAACCGTAAACCCTTCTTTCGGGTTTAAAGTTTGGGGTTCCATGACACCCTCAAAAGGCGACTATTCGAGACTAGGGTCCTTTTTAACTGCCTTTATCCCTTAGCGGGTGCAAATCCTTGACTCCCGAGCCCTCAACCGGACTGACCGACTGCGATGCCTTCTAGTCTGTGGAGTGTCATTCAACATATCACTTGATGGCACAACTAAAATCAACGATGGAAACTCAAAGGTGCTGCATGCCTCTTCGTCTACATCAAAAGCTAGTCTCTCCATACAGGCCGGACAAGTGTTACTGTCAGAGACTGATTGGCTAGAGCAGTTGTGGCAAGGCTTCGATAAAGGCTGTGCCATCAGTCGTCCCGAGACCTGTGAATAGCATAGGTGACTCCGGCAACTCGTCGGCAGCTACTCAAATCTGATGCATGGACATTGTGCAAATATTTCGGGTCCGAAAACCTGAGCCCTGCAACCGGAGATTCGGCACTGCTTTTGGTGTTGATATACTTGTTTTTACGCTTGAAATGCACCCTTTCCTGAATCCGAAGGAGTGCTGGCCATTTGCGGCCCTCAACTAGTGAAACATCCTGCTCATTGCTCCCCTTTCAACTCTTTATAGGGGCTCACAAGTCCCGGGCATTTGTGGCCGACAGAGTGGATGACATATGGGTATGATGGATGCCATCTACTCGTTCGGGTTTGGCAGGTAAGGATCGCTGTGCTGGGAATGCCATGCCATTGATGTGGGTGTAACCCACGCTGTCTTAGTGTTTTACATCCGAGGTATACCAAGTGAGGCCCCATGTAATATATGATTGATAGGATGACTGCCTCAACAGGAAAGCCTGCGCCAAGGCAGCTTGCAAGCTTTACACTATTGCTGCTATCTGCAGGGAAGCTATCCTTAATGCGACCAGCAGGTTCTCGCTCTTTATGCCCTAAACCCCGAACCAGTAGATGGCATATCTCGGATGAACCAAAAGGGAAAGGGAAAGGACCCCGCGCTATCCGCAGGGAAGCTATCCTCAATCCGCAGCGGGCCCTCGCTCCCTATCCCTAGACATCTGAAAAATTAGTCCAGCTAAGCTCCTCCTAAAACCAACACCAAAATATCACTTCTCCTGGTGGCCTGCCCAGTATCAGATTGGAGAGGCGCTCCATGATCCAGTTTCGAAGCACCATTTTACGTCTCGCTTCATGATTCGCCGCGCCCTGTGACACGAAATCCCCCACGCGGTGCTCCCCGACGAGCACAGATGAGACATCCCGTGCAGCTTTGAAGGACATGGACGCTTCAGAAACCAGGAAACCCTGCTATTCAGGTGATATTTAGGCTCTATGTATGGGCCCCCTATGAAACTCCAGCTGATTCCAGCTGCAGGTGCTCCGGCTAGGCGCGGCTAGACTAAACCTCAAACCTTGAAAGCACAGCGGTAAAGTCTGCTGCCCGGCCTCCGTTCTGGACACATGCAAGCAAGTCCTGGAGTGGCCAGTGTGAAGGACTGCGCATTTTAAAGGGTGCCTCACCCCCGAACCTGAAAACCCCAACCGTTGCAGTGCAGCGGCGAATCTCAAGTTCAGAGCCGGGCACGAACAGGCTGGGGTGGACCCGACACTGCCACGGGAGACTGCGGAGGGTGAAAGGGTGCTTGTGAGACTGTGGTCTTCAGCCTGAGGGGTGGTTTAGTTATTTTATGTCAGTCGGAAGTTCATGCTCCCTAAACAGACCTTAACCCTGGACCCCCAGTACACCCTAAACGTTTAGGGTTAGGCCCCTGCTGGCTCGGGGCTTCATACCATCTTGCCCGTCAAACCCACTGGAACTGGACTGGCAAGTCTGGGGCCGAGACGATGTCAAAAATCTAGAAGCACATGGGACGGCTTCGGCAACCTGAAGCAATCCAAACCCCAACCAGAAATGCTCAGAAAGCCTCGAAACGCCTGCAGACCTCTGAACGGACTCCAATGAACTCCTTGAACCCAATAACCCACATCCTCAATCTGTCCCTCCTGGTTGCTCATCTCGTCGAAGCGCGGGCAAAGCGCCCACCGAGTTTTCTATGGCAAGGTGCAGGACTTGCTTGAGCTGTTTTATCAGGCTTCCATCGTTGAGGCTTAGGGGTGGTGCTCTCTTTCAGGTTCCGTAAGTCGTGAAGGGTGATCGACCTCGGTGACGGCAAACGGTTCTTTAGCAGCCTTCGTGCAGCTGTAAAGGCTTGCCTGCGGTTCGGGGGTGGGCGGTTGGAGTACGCTGGGGTGGATACTTTGCGAGCGAATGAGTTTCGGCCTTCGAAGTATCAAGGCCGTACAACATCTTGGCATGAGGCTTCAATGTGACGCCGATGGCGCTGACGATGATGCTGATAATGATGATGATGATGAGGAGGAGGAGGAGGAGGAGGAGGAGCAGGCCGAGGCTGAGGCTGAGGCAAGGATGAGGATGATGTTGTTGCTGATGCTAACTGTGGTGATGGTGCTGATGATGCTGGTGATGGTGATGATGATGGCGGTGGTGATGATGATGATGATGATGATAATGATGATGACGACGACGATGATGGTGATGATGCTGCTGATGCTGATGCTGATGCTGATGCTGA